AGCAGTCAAAGAGCAAAAGTGAACAGACTCTTTCAAGTTCAAAGTTTGAAATAGAAGCCAAAAGCAGACGTAAAGCTGGCAGACAAACAATTAAAAGAGCACTTTTAGTGCTGGGCACATTAATCAATTGCTTTGAAGCTATGTATATGTACATATATAGACTCGCATAAACATATGTATATACAGACTATAAATATCCTAAGTTGGTTTTTTCTTAGCGCAGAGTCGCGACATTTTATGCCAAATTTGAGCAAAGTTAATTAACAGGTTTCATTGTTTCAGCTGTTTTGCCTGTTCTGTGCTCTTTTCATAACAAAACAGACACACACTCACACACACACACAGACCATCTGGGCGATTATGGGGGCGTATACGTAATGCTTAAGCGCGAGCTCTCGGGCACAAAGAAAGCGAGCTGAAATCAATTTGAAAACATGTTTAAACGGTTGTTTTTGTTTTTGCTTTTGTTTTTGCCGCTTGACTAATAGAAATTTAATTAGCCATGCAATTTAGCATTTTTTCTTCTTCTTCTCATTCTCCTGACACTTTTTCGCTGTTTATTTTTGTTGTTGATTGTAGTTTTGTTTATGGTTTTTGCGCTTTGAAAGTTCGCACTGCACGTGCAGTCAAAGCTCTGACATATGAGCGCTGTTAATGTATGTGTGTGTGTGTGCGTCTGTGAGTACTGCCCACGCATGCGAGATTGACGCTGCCTTTATGCCAGTGTATCAGTGTATTGGTGTGTGAAGTGAAGAAGCCAAGACAAATAAAAAGACACGAAATAAAAACAAAACTTTATGGCGCACCACACACACAGCAAGCAAACGCTGTTTACTCGCTCTCGCGAACCCCTCTCTTTTGCTCTTCCTCATTCTCTCATGTTTATGTATGCGCGCTGTGCTTGCGCTCTCTCTCTGTAGCGATCATTACATGGTGCCGAGTGCTGAGAAGGTGATGCGCAGCGAAGACAGCGACGTCACAGTTGCGTGTGTGTGCCTGGAAACGCACTACACACGCTCAGAAGCTGACTGCTGTGACGTCACCAGCGAGTGAGAGAGCCCGAGAGTAAGAGTGACTGAGGCTCGCTGCTCTGCAGAATCTGCACTCTCTGTGCCGCCTTGCCATCGGCTTACTTTGAGGTTGTTTGCTGCTTGCTTTGCTGCGGCTGCCGCTGCAGTCAACAGCGCAAAGCGCAACACGACGGTTCGAAAATTATTTTAACGGAAAATTACAGCTGTGCTCAGTCAGCTACGTGCTGTATTATTGTGTTGAGCGTCTTATCGCTGCTAAACTATAGCAAATTGCTAGTGAATCCTCCAGTCGTCGTAGTTAAGCCAGCCAAGTGTTTCCGCAGCCGTCGTGCCTGTTGTCGCCACACTTGCCAAAGCGCATTTCCTATATATTTTGCTGCGTGCTTTGCAATTACGAAATCTTACGTTCAAATTTTATGTGTGCTCCATGTGGCTATAAATACAACAACGCCAGCGCCAAAATAAATTGTACGGAACATTCGGTCGGTCGGTCGGTCGGTCGCCTGGTCAAAAGAAGCAAAAAAACAAAAATAACACACACTGAAATAACAAAACAACAAGAGAAACTGACGGGTTGATTGACTTGCAGGAATTTGAGACACCAACGGACGCCGTCGCCGCCGACGCCAACCAACAGCCCAACAGCTAACAGTCGTCAGCATCCCAGATCCAACATCCCATATCCACATACACATCCACATAGCCTCGCCTTCAGCGTCAGCTAACCACAGCTTCCGTTGCTTATCTGCCGCACGAGATTCTGACGGAACGGACCGCCTGCCCGAACCTCCCCGTCCCATTGGGATGGGCAGGCGCATGAGTTGCGTTTTCTGTAAGTTGCACATTGAGTTTATGATTATAGCGAGCGTATTCACGAATCCAATTCTCAAATATTTATAACACACACACACACACACACACACCCATAGATGATAATATTCATAAATACAAAGAAAATGTAAATTGTATACAAGTCGGAGAAGCTGTCTGGCTTTTGTTTAATTGCAAATCAATAGGATGCGCATAAAAATCAACATAAAACTTCTGGCGTGAATAGGGGCAGACAGATCTGAGGCATTGATAAATGAGTGAGCATAAATAAAAAGCGTAATTAAATTGTTAAACACGGCATTCAAAAACAGCTACTAATTGATTTTGGCACTTTAAATGGCTTTGCAAAACAAAGTTTAGTTCAATTAAAAAAAAAAAAATAATAATAACAAAAACAACTGTGCAGACGACAGGCAATGCGCACAAATGAATGGTTCCAGCAGTGCTGTGTGCTGTTATGGTGGTGCTGCTGTTTTCCATCAGCCATACAGATGACACCCACTCACAATCAGAAATAAAAGCGAAAACAAACCACAGAGAAACGTATGCGAACAAATTTGCTTTTAGCTAAAATGCTTTGCATATACATATATGGAAAAGAACATAATTTAAATCTTTTTGTGGCTAAAGGTAAATTGGAAGAAATAGATGATTTTAAAAAAATTTGTATTTAAATGTAAAAGAAAAAATTCTTGTCAGAAGTGGGATTCGAACCCACGCCTACAGAGTAGACTGCGACCTGAACGCAGCGCCTTAGACCACTCGGCCATCCTGACCGTTGGTACCAGATGAGCTAAAGCTGATTTCATACTGCTGAGTGTGCGCTGTTAATGTGCACTGTTAGCTATACAGTGCTATAAATAGCTATATGGGAACGCTTTCTGTTTAATTTTCTCTCAGCTGTTAATTTATTGGCATTTTAAATATTTCAGAGACTGTTAAGCCATTCGCTAGGCTGGTTAAATTTATGAAATATGTGATTTAAATACAGTTTTATGGTAAAATAATTGCAAATTAAACTGATTCGATCTGCTGTTTGTGAACAAAAATAAATATACACAAAAGCCGACAAAGTATTGACGGCGTTTTATATTTTGCTGTAGATAAATCTTATCGCTGAGTTATATTTGTGGGCTGGGCCCGGAGACGAACGCGTTAAGTCAGCAAAAAAAAAAAAACAAAAACAACGACAAAATAACAAGCTAAAGAGCTGAGATTAGTCATTAAAGAACATTAACCTTTATTGTAAACTTTCGCCTACTAAGCCTGCCGAACTTCGAAATTTCGGGACCAGTCTCAGAAATTGGGTTAACTCGCATTCTTGTACCTAAATCTTGCAGGCGTTTCCATTTCTCTTTACAATCCTCTCTCATTAAAGGCGGCGGCAGCTTTTGTTGTTCGCTTCACGCTCTTAAATACATAAGTATATACATATATGAATATTATTTATGATAGATATGTATATGCATACCAACGACTGTAGAGACTTTTGTTCTTCTCAATGATATTTAAATGAATTTCTTGACATTTTCATTTGATTTATGTGTGGAAAAGTTCATTCATTCAGTTGTTATATTTGTCACTTATGCATAAATTATAATTGGATCGCTTTCAATTTCAGTTCCGACTAGAGATACGTATATATACATACATATGTCTGTATATATACTCGCTGCAGATGTAGATGTAACTGAAGAATAGCGCGCATTGTTTATAAGATTTGAAAAGAAAAACGCTTTGACTTAATGCCGACAACTATTTTATTAAGCTATTTATAGATGTACATCTACTTACATATAAATATGTGTGTATATGCGTATGTATGTCTATGCATGCGCATTTCAAGCTAATTATTTGTTTATCTAAGGGAAAAAACCAAATGGCATGAAATGTTTTGACATGCCGCGAATAATTTTCCGCATTACCATTGAACTTTTGCCTCAATCGAAGATTTTCTATACCATACAAACAAAATGAAATTCATTTGCAAAATTTTACTATCAGTACTTTATATATAAAGATAGAGAATGAGAGAGAGGGAGAGGTTAAACTCATGCGTCTTGCGTGCTTGATAAGTAAGATTCATAATTATATAGCAATTTTTTATATAGGTCAACAGTTTTGAGATCTAACAACGCAAATTTCCCAACAAAATGTTTACTATTTTCAAATATTAAATATGGGAAATATGAAACTGACACAATTATCTCAATATATATATACGTATACGTAATACGTATGTATCAAGCAAAGTATTGAAAGAAAAGAAGAAATAAAGTTGCATTTGTTTATAAACAAAGCGTGGCGATATGCCAGTTGACATAGTTGAGACTGAATTTCAGGGCACGAGCTCAATGCCATTTTCGTTGGGTCAGTTCTGCTGTCAACATATACCTATACACACACATACATATATACGTATATATACATATATACCATATTATTTTGCAGAGTTTGATTTTTTTACAATGCGCAAAGCAACTGCGTCAACAGAATCAAAGCATTTGGAGTACAAGGTCTAAACTGTTTTTTTATGTTATCGATAATACTTTTATCTAGGCTGCTTAAAAACAAGTGAAAATGCTATAAATAAATATAACAAATATTTATATACCAGTTTAATTGTAGTTGCCTCAGCCCACACGTGTGCCGTATTATATGACTTTTTCACATAGAGTTCGCTAGAAGTACCATAAAGCCCCAGCCAAGCACGTCGAATGCATTTTAATGCGATGTCAATGACAATTTTCCTCTATTAAACGTTTGCAACTTAAATAAAAATAAGATAAGATTTCTATGGCTTTAATAGCCTCAGTTAAGTGTTTGGTTTTTTTTTATAGCAGGTTATTCAACTGTTGTCCGTGCCAATTGCAAAACAAAGCCCACAAAACGCATATAAAATATAAAATAAAATTTTAAAGTACAACTTAAATAATAAAAAATTGTAAATCCACAAAAAAGATCTTGTCAGAAGTGGGATTCGAACCCACGCCTACAGAGTAGACTGCGACCTGAACGCAGCGCCTTAGACCACTCGGCCATCCTGACAGCTGCCGGCTGGTTGGCAAAAGCAGTATAGATAACAGCTGTGGCTGCCACTGCTGCGGACAGTTGAACATTTCATTTCCATATCAATAAATATTTATTTATTTCTTTGTGTGTTTCTTTTTACGAACAATTTGAATCGCTAGCCGAATGTTGACAAAATCAGTGTCCGACTGCCAATGCTTAGAGATCGTAGATGTGCAGCAGAGCTCTCAACAGCTCGAACAGAAATAAACGGGTGGTTGCACGATCTTTGTAGGTCTTCAGGTGGGCCCGTATCACCTGCTCGAACAGATCTAAACGCTCCATGGTGCAGAGGCGTAAGTTGACCAGAAACCGCGACTGCAACAGATCCTTGGCCAAGTTGTGAAAGTCTTCAACGAAGAGTTTAAGCACTGGATCCTCCTTGGCATTGGCCACGTCTCGGTGTTTTTGAAAAATTTCGTTGATGTTACTCTGCTGGATGTTGCCCTGCATAATCTCGAGCCAGGCCAGCTGAACGTACGGATTGTGTATCTGTGACTGTCGCAGCACATTGGTCTCGCGTATAAATGGATATGTGGTGTATATCTTGGACGTGATCTCCGATTCGGAAAAGATTTTGAGTACGTTTTTGTTGATAGGATTGTCGCGACACAGAACAAACTTGAGCTTGAAACTGGTCAGCAGCGGAATCTCTGCCGATATGAGATTGGCCAACAGATCGCACATGAACTGGCTCAGATGCTCCATTTTTGTATCCTCAATCACATTCATGTACAACACATAGTAGAACTGATGCATGACGCCGCACAGGCAGCACAGGACGGTGCTGTACTTGAAATTCAACGGATAGATATCGAAGCAGAGGAAGCACTCGTTGTCCACAGGATCCGGTCGGGCCCGCTTCATTATCTGTGCGGTGCGCTTCACATATTTGTTCATGATGTGCTTGCTCTCGAGCGGCTCGTTCTTAAACAAAGCATTGCAGCGCTCCTGATCCTCCGCCGTCAGTTCCATAAAAGATTGAATATTTTTCAACTGAATACGTTCTGTAGCCATGGCTATAATTATCACATGCAGGCAATGCTCAGACCAAAAATAAAGATAAATAAGTTAGGTTACGACAAAGCACGAACTGCCTGCTGTAATCTGAATTACTTAATGTATTTACATAGCAAAGGGTATTACTTACATATGTACTCCGACTGTGAGCCTGAACTTGACCCACAGCACGAATCGTTGCTGATAAATGGCAAATGGCAACTGGCAATGGCAAATTGGCAACGAAATTGAATGGATTTGCGCTTAATCATTTATCAAGTGCCCAATTGACACGCCCCGTCAATATCCATAATTGCTAAACTGTGTGCCCAGCTAATCTCAGTGATTAATGTTTGCTTTTTTGACTTCTTTTTTTTTTTCGTTTTTCGATTTATTTGAAGACTTAAATGTACCGGTTCTCAGACTTCTCAGCGTTCTCGCGTTTCTCGCTGCTCGCCTCATTTGCATAATTGCAATTTATTGTAAATCCGTGTGCAAATATGCCAGAAATTTTCAGCTAAGACGCTGTGTAAGGCAATGTTAGTGCCGCCAAAGGCCGACGGCTTTTCACAAATCACATTTCAGTTGCATATGCAAAAGATTTGCAAACTCATTAAATATCGTCCGTCCATCTAATGTGTATTCTGTATAATTCTGCGGGCCAAGTGTCGCACAGGCCATGTCTCTGTCACACTTGACAATCGACTCAGACACTATCCATCATCTGTGGCAATCGCTTGACATTCAATCAGTGCAGCCAGCTGACATCGTTGCTAATTAGATGTCAGTTCGCATCGATTGATTTCGTTGCTATGCAATGCAACTCTGATTGACAAGCAAAACTAATTGAATTGAATATCTAATTGAAACTCGAGAAAGTTGAAGAATTGAACTAGAACCTCTCTAGAGGAAGACTAGCTCTACGTTTGAAATGAACTGAGTAATTGATAGATAATTGTAATTGATGGAGAACTTTGAGAGAGGCAGAATAACCCTTCATAAAAGTGTCTTCAATTTAGAACGACTAAAAATAGCAGTGAATAATCAGAAGAGCGTGGGTGTTAGAAGTTGAAAACGGAAGGAGAAATTCATGATGAGAGTAAGGAAGAGTCAAGGTTTTTCATATATAGACCAAGTTTTTCATTAATCTAGGCTGACACACATTCTCACACACGCGCACACACACATTCCTTTTGAGTTCCTACGATACCTTTATTTTCTAGATTTTTCGAGGTCAGTTGAGTCATTTCTTTGTGATCGACCGACGCACTTTTACATATAAGCAAAGGCAATAAGATTCATTTACGATTCTCAGTATTTCTACAATTAAAACTAAAATGGTTTTCTCTCTCTCCCCCTCTCTATGTATGTGTATACATATATATTACAGATTAAACACGCCATTTAATGCCATATGGACTATTATGGCAGCTCCCACGCAAGTCACGAAAATTGAGCAACGCGACGCGATTTCTCAGTGCCAGAATCTGAGACAGTATCTCTTCGTCTCTGTCTCTGTCTCCCCCAAGCCATTCGCGTCCAAATTAAAGCCGACCACGTAAAGCTCAAGTTCAAACCGACGGCAATCGAAACAATAAAAACTAAAGAACATTAAAATACCAGCAAACAAGTCAACAGCAACAATAAATTAAGCGTGTGCTAACAGAAACAACAAAGCAACACAGACAAAGCAACAGCAACAGAAAAGGTGTTGGCTGCATTTTGTTGTCGCCTTCGTTGGCTGCCACACAAAGTGGGTCAGACAGCGAGACAGTCGGACGGGCGGACAGTGGGACTCTGGCAGAGCCATCGAAGACGCCGCAGACAGCAAGGGGCACGTCCCAAGGCAGCCTGCATCAATCGCTTGGTAACTCAAGAAAATTCGACAAATTGCGTGGCGAGCTGTAAGCGAATCGCGTATCTTGTTATTGTTTATCCACATACATATATTGTTTATACATAATTCAGTGATTTTGTTGTTATTGTTTGTGTAATTATGCAACGGCTGCAGTGGGGCGCTGAATGAAAAGCCCGCAGCAGTAATAACAATAACAACTCGTAAAACAATAAAAACACAAACTCAACACGAATTCATTGATAAATACGAAAAATATCGCGCATACGCCGCTCTCTCCCGCAACACCCACTCGTGCTCTCTCGTGCTCGCGCTCTCTTACTCTTACTCTCGCTCGCGATCGTAAACAAAATGAACTCACCACAGCTCGTCAATACAGCTGCGCAAGCTCACCACAGCAGCAGCAGCAGCGCCAGCAGTGGCAGCGGCAACAACAACAACAGCCCAGCACAGACGGCGACCGCAAATAAATTTGCGCCTGCACGTAGGCTAGCAGCCCGTCAGACTCTGCGCCTGGCCATACCCAAGCAACAGGGTGATTCAGTCACACTGCCCCATGCCCAGACGAGCAACATTTATCGACACTCGCCATCGCAGCTGCCGCCGGCGCCGCTGCTCAAGCGTCACACATCTGTGACGGCAGCTGGCAATTGCAGCGGTGGGAGCAATAACAGCTTTATTCCCAAATCCGCATCGCCACTGGAGTCGCACAAGTTGCCAAATGTCACGCCCACTTGCACATCCAGCCCGCTGATATACAATGGGACCGGGGGCAGCGCCTCCTCCATCGCCAGCAACTCAAATTTCCTGGGCGTACGTAAACCAAGTCTAACGCTCAACTCATCGGACATACGCAACAACAATGATTTGTTTGCCTTTGCCAAGGATATGTCGCCGGCATTGGAGCTGAGCGGTGAGTCCTGCTCTTATAAAATATGTTGTCTCTCTATTAAGTCTGCTACTCCACAGATCACTCGCACTCGCACTCTCACTCACCCATGTTCACGGATATAAGCACTGCCATATCGCCAGCAAATAGCAATGGCTCTCCCACTCATCATCAGCTGGGCAGACTCTTCAGCCTGAGTCCTTCCAGTATGAGAAGTTACGGCAATGTGAGTAAAGTACAAATATAAGCTTATGTAGGTATAAGTAAATTAATGAGTATAAGACATTGTATAAAAATACTACATGTATAAGCATAAGGTGCATAACAGAGTGAAAGTAGAAGCGTGTGTAGGTAAACGTAGCAGCAGTGTATAAGTATTTGAATATTGTATATTTGTATGAGTACAAGTAACAGTGTAAGCCTAAGTATAAGTAGAAATATTAGTAGAAGAAGAGTAAATAGCTTAATTATAAGAGACAAAAGTTTTACTTCCTCATTTCAAACTTACATTGCCATATGAGCCTCGCTCAGCTCACTCACAGCTGTAATTAGCGAAACTCACCACGCCTAATGACTATTAATAGACGCTGCGCAAAGGTCAGCCAAAGTACATTCCCTTTGCTCACTCTTCTCGCTTGGCACGCACATCGCTTAATTTTGCATTTGACCCACAGGCCGAAAAAAGCTTTACACAAACACACACAGAAGTCCAATCGTCATTTCGTCCCATATATTTAACCATTTATAAAGCTCACACCTCACGCGACTACAACAGAAAAGAGGCGCGGAGTTAAAAACGACAGACAGAATGAGCAAGAGAGAGAGAGAGAGAGAGAGAGAGAGGTGGGAGGAGTGTGCTTGATGACACTCCCAGTTGAGTTCGTGAAACCGGCTGCCGAGGTAAATAGGCAGAAAATAGCGTCAACTTAATTAATAAATAATATTTAGCACGTTTTAAATGGGAAAGGAGCACGGTAAAGAAACTTAAACAGAGAATCGGGAAGAGAAACGCCTAACGATGAGCTAGCCAGATTTGCTGCTGCCTGGGCAGTTATTAGTTGTTTATATATACATATATATAGATGTGTATGTGTATATATGTATTTAGCGTATGCAAACGTTATGGCTAAATGAATAATCGGCATTCGTTAGACTTGGATTTTGATTTTTTTAGTATGGCTCGTGCGTCGCTGTCATAGCCGCCCCAGTGTGCCCTACACTTATGGGTGCTATTGATTCTGAAGATGCACCTGCACTTCATATATAAATTAGTGCTCGAGTGTGAATCACTCAGCGGCGTGAGTGTACCTTAGACTCTAGATTAGAAGTAATTACTGATAATACGTACAAGAAGGCAACATTTTAATTAAAAGTCATACCCATAATGACCCATATACGAAACGTATAAGACTAATGTGATAATGGGAAGTACGGATAGGTAGCACTGCATTAACCCAGATAACTGGAATTATCATATGAAGCATCTAAATGGAGTTGTTTTGAAATTTATTAGATGTAGATTATAGAAATACTTTTACAAGGTGGGTTGGATCTCCCCTCGCTTAGGCTCGGCACGATAGAGCATTCAATATTCCCTCTAGCCTTTTCTCTAATAAGCTTTTTAACACCTTGTTGTGTGTTGTTTTTGTGTTCTTTGAAAACTATTTGACGAGCTCTTCAGCTGAGGCGAAACGTGAGCGCGAGTGACTCTTGCCGTTTTGGCCAAAGCTAGGCGTGTTCTGTATAGCCACAGGTACCTACAGGTAGTACACCGTGCATAGAGTATATAGCCAGCTCTGGGCATATTAATGCGCTGGCTAGCTGGCTAGCTCACTAGCGAGCTATACGAGGTGTACGAGCTTCAACCGGTATAGAGCAAGTTAGAGAAAAAATCGATTAGTACGCGAACAAATGTTCGGGCAAAAGGAAGTTTTCGCTGTTGATATACAAACAAAGTTGCGCTGTCGCTGTCGATGACGCCGAGTCTTATATATGTATATACATATATATTTTTTTGTTTTCTTTTTGGGCATTATAAAGCGCGCATACCATACAAATAAACAAACATACACACAGATAAAAACACACACATGCACAGAGAACGAGAGAAAGATAGAAAGAGAGAGAGAGAGAGAGAGAGAGAGCGAGACGTTTTTGTGTAGCATTTTGTGGTTTTTGAAAGAATTCCATTTTCAGTATTTGCCGAATTGAGATGCGCGCCGGTTGCCTCTGTTGCCTCATATAGATATATATGTATGTATATGTGTGTGCTTCTGTATACTTATATATTGGTATAATCGCATCAATGTAACGCTATTCACTATTCAGCTAATTCT